GTGTGTGTGTGTGTGTGTGTGTGTGGTGTGTGTGTGGGTGTGTGTGTGTGTGTGTGTGTGTGTTGTTGTGTGTGTGTTGTGTGTGTGTGTGTGTGTGGTGTGTGTGTGTGTGTGTGTGTGTGTGTGTGTGTGTGTGTGTGTGGTGTCCGTGGACCTCATGCGGCTTTTCCCCCACGCGCTTTTCCCCTTTCTAGCTCCTAGCTAGAGCTTTTCTGGTTCAGCTCCGGTTTCCCTTTTCTGCTCCCGCTCTGTTCACACCGCCCAGAGCTGCTGCGTCATGACGTCACCGTTTACATCGCTGATTTTCTCCCCAGCGGAGCTCACAACAACAACAAAGGGGCATAAGTGGTGGTCTAATGGATAGTGAGGTGGGCTGAAGGTTGTGAGTTCAAATCCCGCCTGGATCACTACCACTAGTGTGCCCTTGAGTAAGGCACTTAGCCCTTAGTTACTCCAGGGAGAATGTCCATGTAATTGTAAGTCGCTTTGGATAAAAGCGTCAGCTTAATGAAATGTAATGTAATGTGGATGCATCCTTTCCATCAAACCAAATTAAGACATACATGTATGTCTCAATAATGTCTTACCAGACATGTGAAACTAGACAGAACATCCTGAACTCTTGACCTATGCACATGCATTTTAGAAGTTGCAAGCAAAGCATAAAAGTTCCAACCACAATTCTAGGAAGGCGTTGTGGTTTTTGACACCTTGACAACGGTTACAATGATTAAGGACAGCAATTCCGGTTCTTATCGATTCCCTGTTTCAGTTCCAAAATTGTAAAAGATAGAGGTCAGATGTTTAGATAACTAAAATATATTTTATTCTTTTAAGCTTTAACTGACATTTTTACAAATAAAAAATATACATGCAATACAAATGTATTGCACAATAGCTGTGCTTTATTTTAACTGAGCTATGCCTGTGGCAAGCTATTAACAGGCATTACACTGTGCCTTGTCTTTTTCTTTTTTAGTGTAATGGAGCCTCACTTTAGAGCGTTTACCGCGATCCATCTTTAGTGTTATGAAGTGACTGAGCTTGTGAACTGTCTACGGGAGGGCGGGGGGAGCCTCGCTGCGGGGAAACTGGCATTCAAAAGTATAGTGACACTGATACAAGCCTCGATGTGGACAAAGCTCGTTTGCATTAGTGTTTTCGCGTTGCAGACAAGCAGTCTGTCCAAACAGCTGGCCAAAAGGTGTCATATTCAGACGGAGAAATGCACAATTTTTTACTTCCTTAACTCGTAGCTCTGTTGCCCCAATTGCGAGTAACGTTATCACATCAGGTGCGCAGAGGTGGGAGAAGTACTCAGATCTTGTTGTCAAGTAAAAAAAGTACCAGATTGTAGGAATACTCTGTTACATTAAAAGTAGACAAGTATTGGCATCAAAATATAGGTAAAGTACCAACTTTTGTCATTGTGCAGATTGGTCCATTTCAGAATAATATATATGATATGTTTTATAATGATTGATCATTAAAGTGTTATCAAAGCTGGTAAAGGCGCAACTAGTTTGAATGACTTTGTATACTGCAGGGCAGGGACGTGCGCAGACATTTGGAGGGGCTATTGCTCCAAACTGGAAAAGGGCCTCCCCCACCTTTTGAAAATGTTTACTTGTTTTTAATGTAAAAGGTTCATAAAATAAAAACACAACAATGTCATTGCAAGTGACACTCAGTTGACTTTTATGTCCAACTGCTAAATTTGTTATTCAGGCAAATGTTTTGTTTTGCGGTCCATATTTCATTAAAATATCTAATGTTAGTAACTATTAAAGAAAAAATGGGGACAATTCTGTTTTAATGTCTTACCATTGTAACTGCTGTGCAGACATAGGCTACTGATAAAATAGGGCTTATAACTAATTACCTTAAAGGTTCCATGACATGGCCATTTCTACTGATCATAATTCCATTGTTGAGGTCTACTAGAATAGATTTACATTGTGCAATTTTCCAAACTCACATTGGTTTTCTCATACAAAATCTAGTGAGTGAACAGGTAAAGGAGTTTTTATGTACAAATGACATCCTGTCTAAACATCAGTCAGGCTTCAGAAAGCAACATAGCGACAATGAAAGTGGTGAATGATATGGCGAGTATTTTAGATAATAAGCAGAGTTGTTTAGCTCTATTTGTTGACCTGTCCAAAGCGTTCGATCATCGCATCTTGAAGCAGAGGCTAGTCAGTATTGGCATAGCCAGCCATGCAGTGGGGTGGTTTGTGAACTACCTCTCTGAAAGGTCCCAATGTGTTCAGTTTGATGGGCTCATTACATTTACATTTCATTTAGCTGACGCTTTTATCCAAAGCTTACAATGACCAATAACAGGGACATTCTCCCTGGAGTAACTAAGGGCTAAGTGCCTTACTCAAGGGCACACTAGTGGTGGTGTTCCAGGCGGGATTTGAACTCACAACCTTCCGATCTTCAGCCCACCTCACTATCCATTATGGCGCATTTCCACCATGGCGCGGAGCGCGGTTTAAGCGTGCCGTGTCGTGCCCGTTTTTGGTTGCGCTTCCACTAGGCCTAGTAACGGCCCGGCCCGGCCCGGGGCCACTTTTTCACCTCTTTTCTGGCCCGACAAAATTGTGGTTCTATCGGGGCCAACAAACAGGGCTGAGTCGGGCTGAGTATGCTAAACTAGAGAGAGGATCGCTGGCAAGGGGGCTACAACTACAACAAGATGGACATATTTGACCGTGATTTAATTGTAATACACGTTTCAAAATGATGCCGAAGTAACAACATACTGATACCGGTTAGTAAAAACCATGAATTAATGCTTTGTCAAGTCTGCAGACAGACGGCAGGCGAAAAACCTTTTAAAATGCGTGTTTTCTAGATGGAGATTGGCTAAGCTAACGCAGTATATGCTCCGACCGTCCACACTCACAACGGCCTATACAGACATAAATAAAGCAGCGACTGTATTCACCATGACACAGGCAGTCTGTGGTTTGTACTTGTTTAACTTTTGTCGAGTTTCTGAACATATATGAGGAGCTGTGAGCTCTGAGTGCTAACAGCTAACGGCTGTGTTGTGTTTCTGGGGTTCTCAATGAAGATGACGTCACGGCTCCGCCTACACTGCGTTACTATAGTAACTACCCCAGTTCCTAAACTGTAATGGAAGCGCAGCATGAAGTGAGCCGGCCCTGTTAAGGCCCAACGCGGCCAAGCAGTACCGAGCGTGGCCGAGGCCGACCGTGTGGTGGAAATGCGCCATTAGACCACCACTTCTGAGTGGTTAAACATTACTAATGGTGTACCACAAGGTTCTGTTTTAGGTCCACTTTTATTCTCCATCTACATCAATAGTTTAGGTGAAAATGTCGATGGAGCAACCTTACATTTGTATGCGGACGATACCGTGATGTGCTGTTCAGGTCCCTCCATTAAGAAGGCTGTTGTTGAATTGCAAGCTGTTTTTCACATTATTCAGACTCAGCTCTCTGAACTAAAGCTTCTTTTAAATGTTGATAAAACTAAGGTAATATACTCTTTTCTAAAGCTAAAAAGACACCAGAGCCTGTTTTTAGATATTGTAACTACGCAAGGAATAAAACTTGAAGTGGTTACCTGTTACAAATATCTTGGTATCTGGCTTGATGATTGTCTCACTTTTAAACTTCATGTCAATAACCTGCTTAAAGGGGACCTATCATGCAAAATGCACTTTTGTACGTCTTTTCAACATGAATATGTGTCCCCGGTGTTCCAGGGAACTCACCAAGTGTCAGAAAACACAACCCTCTCTATTTTCCTCCATACCCAAATCTCTAAAAAAGGGGCTGCAAACGGATCTGATAAAAACTGATCCAGATTTGAACACTGTCCTGACGTCAGGACGGTGGCGCTACGGCTATTGGGACAACTCCACCAATCAGGAGGAGACAGCCACGGCCATTGCCGTTCGAAAGCGCTGGAGACGCTGTAGTACATATGCCAGGCCTGTAGATGGTGCTGTTCTCACAGAATCAGCCCTTGCAAAAACAGAGCTAACATTTTCGAAATTGAGCGAAATGAGGCATGGCTAAAATGCATGATTTGTTTGGTATTTTGAAAAAATGAGGACAAAATAAATATGCCTTATATAGGTATGGTCCTACACTATATTATTCAAATATAGCATGATAGGTCCACTTTTAAAAATGGCTAGGTTTCTTTTACAGAAACAAGTCCTGTTTCTCACTTGAGTCCAGGAAAAGGCTAGTCACTGTGACCTGTGCTGGACTATGGTGATTTGATTTATATGAATGCACCTGCCAATTGCCTGGTCAAGTTAGATGCTGCGTGTCACAGTGCACTGAGATTTGTGACAAACTGTAAAGTATTAACCCATCACTGTACCCTGTATGCAAGGGCTGGTTTACCTTCGCTAACTGTACGGAGACTCAGTCACTGGTACATTTTTATATACAAAGCCATGTTATGGAAACTTGCTGAGGGGACTGTAGCAGCCCCATCTGTGAGGCTCCACTAGCACTCCACTAGCACTATGGCTTTGCACTGCGGCCGCCAAATTGACTTTATTGAAAACTCCAATATCAACGTAAGAGCTTGTGCCTCTTCGGGGGGTGCTAACACTTAACCATAAACGTTATCGTTTACTTTCTCCGTCTTTATATTCAGATATGACTTTTTCTCCGTTAATCTCAGTCACGTTGTTTCCATAGCAACAACAACTTCCTGTCAACAGCGCTAACTCTCCTGGGGTTAGACGACGCCATCTGCGATCGATTAACTAAAACTCCTGTATACAAGTATATTTCAGATCTGTGGAAAACACTGCCGTTGGTTGTATCGAAGTTAGATTCCTTTTCAATAGTAAAGTACAAGTACCTCTAAATAGTACTTAAGTACAGTACTTGAGTAAATGTACTTAGGTTAATAGCAGAGGTGAGAAGTAACTAAGACGTAGATTTGTTTTGTTGTGTCTGTCGGTTGTATTGAGTTATCATGTTTTGTGATTATTTCAGAGACACAGCCGGAGAAGGAGCACTGAGAGCAGCATGGAGGAGAACAAAGAGACCCCTGGAGCTCAGGTCAGTGTGCACTTCATCACAATATATTCCTAACACTGTTATCCCCAAATGAAAGATCACAACCTGTTTAGAAAATACAATATTAATGCACAATATGGTTAGATATAGGTTAGAATGTTGTATTGACATTTTTTTTTTTTTTTACATTTATCACATTACACAAACGAACATTCCCCAACATTAGACATATGGCAGATTAAAAAACAATGCTAAAAAAATAAAAAAGTGTGCAGATACTAGAATCATCAGTTTAAAGTTCAGACCAAGAATATAATTACATTAAGAAATTCAACAAAAATACAATAAAAGCAGATCCACAAACAGAGCAGAGTAGCTCACAATTCTCCAAATAGATTAACCAAATTCAAAATGTCCTCAGTAGTAGTAGTAGTTTAGTCTTTTCACTTTAACCTTCCATCACTTCTGCAATGTCCCCACTTTTTATAAATTCCAAAAATAATTCCCAAATGGTGTAAAATTCAGAAGCTTTCTTCCTTAGTATATATGTGAGTTTCTCAAGAGCCAGACTCAAAGTTAAATTGTTTAACCTGTGGCTCAGGGAGGGGCAACCAACATTTTCCCAACACAAAGCAATTGAGCGCCTTGCTTGTAGAAGGCATAGGTTAAAAACATTTCTTTCCCTAACCGATAGTGAACAGTCTTCTGGATAAATGCTTAAAATACAACGTTTAGGGCTTAAAGGTGTTCGTGACGAGGTTATTTGGGAAATATATCTTGTCACCGAATTCCAAAATCTTTGAACCTCTACACAATCCCACAAGCAATGATACAGGGTAACTTGATGGATCTTGCATTTATAACATAGATCAGGAATGTTAGGGTTAAACTTCTTAAACATCACAAGGGTGATGTACGTTCTCATTATCCAATTATATTGTATTAATCTAAGACGTGTATCAATAGTTTGTGTTTGTGCCTTTGAACACATTTTACCCCGATCATCCTCTGAAATATCCTCTAATACAGGGGTCTGCAACAGGCGGACCGCGGTCCGGACCCAGACGCCAACCGAAACGGACCCGGACCCGGCGATTCTATTTTAACCGCTGCCGACAGGGGGCGAAAGAGACAAATGAGCGATACAGGGAGAGAAACACAGAAGAAGAGACGAGGGAGCGGCAGATAGAAGAGGAGAGGAAAGTGAGTGAAAATAATAATTAGCGATACAGGGAGAGAAGCGGAGAGGAGAGTGAACAAGCGTGTTAGCGGCAGACAGGGAGAGACAAATAATTACACATGGCGCTCTCCAAGAAGAGGAAAGTGGACAGTGAGAACAGAGCTTTTAACCCTGAGTGGACTCATTCAGGTTCATCCGGCCCACTGGGAGCACAGAACCAGTGTATCTCATTCAGAGACCGTGGTGCTCATTAAAAGTGCCAAAACGCCACTATGAGACAAAACACAAGTGTTTGACCAAACATTCCCTCTCAAGTCAGAACTGAGGTCACAAAAAATAAGCAGTCTCAGAGCCCAATATGATCAGTCGACCAGGATCAAAATTAAAACTAAATATCGTTCCAGGGCAGGCTAACCGAGGCTAACCAATGAGCACCTGCATGTGTATGAGAATGGCCCTGACACCATTTCAGCCCAGATTTAAACTCCTGGCAGGACAAGCTCCAGCTCAATTCTCGCGCTGAATTGAGTGAGGGACTGCAATATAAGAGGGAAAGAAAGAGAAACTTTAAAACTGTTCAATTGTTATGATGTGTAAAGACTGATATTGTTCTATAATCGGCTGAAACTGTTAAGTCATGATACTTGCAATTTTTGCACTTTTAAGATGCACATATTTTCAAAAGCTATTTTATTTATTTTCTCTATTTTATTTATAAATGCAGCCCGAGAGGAACATTATACATATCCACAGTATTTACTGTATATCTGTATAGTTCAATGTTAATTGACAATACATATTGTTGTTTTTGAATTGTACTTTCTTTATTTGATTGGCAGTCAGTTGTTGATTACATGCAGACGTTGATAAAGCTACAGGCTACTTCAATATATATCACACTAATTCATAAAGCAAGTTAGACATGTTGATGTTCCGGACCTTTGCATGGGGACATTTTCTCTAACTGGACCTCGTTGAATTTTGGTTGAATACCCCTGCTCTAATACGTCTTTTATCCACGCCTGTCTTTTACTTTCTGAGTTGTCTTTATGGTTTGCAACCATTATGTTATAAAATTGAGTAACCAGCCCTTTGCTGATAACGTTTTTTATAGACAGTATCTCTACTGTGGACGTAGGAGGTTGTTTAAGTTGTTTACGTTTGCCAATATAAAACTCCTAACTTGCAGGTACTTGAAAAAGTGTTTCTGTGGCACGTCATGCTTTGTTTTCAGCTCGTCAAACGACATTAGGTTGCCGTCCTCATATAAATCTAGTAGCCTTACAATACCCTTAC